AATGAGTCAGATCTTCAAATCAGGTGGCCAAACACTGGAGCTTCAGTTTCAGCATCAGTTCTCCCAATGAGTATTCAGGGTTGATTTCCTTTGGGATTTACTGGTTTGATCTCCTTGTAGTCCAAGGGACTGAAGAGTCTTCTCCAACACCACGGTTTGAAAGCATCAATATTTCGGTGTTCAGCCTTCAGGTGGCACTAGTGGTAAAGAACACACCTGCTAATGCAGGAGACATAAGAGATGTGGGTTCAATCCCTGGATTGAGAAGCTCCCCTAGAGGAGGGCATGGCAGTCCGCTCCAGTATTCTTGCCTGGAGAATCCCATAAACAGAGGGGCTTGGTGGGCTACAGTCCATAGCATCGCACAGAGTCGGACACGACTGAAGCAGCTTAGCATGCAAGCATGCAAATTTCTTTATGGCCCAAATCTCACATCCATACATGACTACTGGAAAGACCATAACTTTGACTATACAGACTGTTGTCGGCAAAGAGATGTCTCTGCTTTTTAATATGCTGCCTAGGTTTGTCATAGCTTTTCTTCTAAGGAGCAAGTGTTTTTTAATCTCATGGCTGCAGACATCATTTGCAGTGATTTCAGAACCCAACAAAATAAAGTCTGTCACTGTTTCCACTTTTCTCCCTTCTATTTGCCATGTAAGTGATGGGACCAGATGCCATGATCTTAGTTTTATTTTTTAATGTTGAGTTTTAAGCCAGCTTTTTCACTCTCCTCTCTCACCCTCATCAAGAGGCTCTTTAGATCCTCTTCAATTTCTGCCATTAGGGTGGTATCATCTGCATATCTGAGGTGGTTGATATTTCTCTTGGTGATCTCGATTCCAGCTTGTGATTCATCCAGCCCAGCCTTTTGCATGATGTACTTTGCATACAAGCTAAATAAGCAGGGTGACAATATATAGCCTTGATGTATTTCATTCCCAATTTTGAACCAGTCCATTGTTCCATGTCCAGTTCTAACTGTTGCTTCTTGACCTGCATACAGGTTTCTCAGGAGGCAGGTAAGGTGGTTTGGTATTCCCATCTCTTTAAGAATTTTCCAGAGTTTGTTGTGATCCACACAGTCAAAGGCTTTTGAATAGTCAATGAAACAGATGCTTTTCTGGAATTCTCTTGCTTTTGCTATGATTCAGAGGATATTGGCAATTTGATCTCTGGTTCCTCTGCTTTTTCTAAACCCAGCTTGTACATCATAGTCTATAAGACATTTTATGATCTGGCTCAGCTCGCCCCTTCTCCCACTCTCCCTCTGGCCCACATTCTGGATTCTGTAACCAGGCTGGCTTTCTGTCCCTTGATTGTGCCAATCCCCTGTTCACCTGGCAGTCTCCACCCTACCTGCCCCTTGTTCCTGGAACCTGGGGTGTTACTGTGGCCACCTCTTCTCACAATTCACGTGGCACCTTCTTCCAGTCACCTGGTAAATCCATCACCCACTAACTCTGCTACTTTGCCTCATTTTATTTGAATCACAGTAATTAAAAAACCTGTAACTGTCTTATTGCCCTTCTCTGGAACACAAGCTCTGAGAGAGCAGCACTATCTGTCCTGTTTACCACTCAATCCAGCCACTTAAACAGCACCTGCATCAGGAAGGTGAGGCCAAAATGTCAGATGCCAGTCGTGTGGAGTCCCAGGTCTGGCTGGGTGGGGACCAGGTGGTGTTTAGTCGGATGCCCTGCCTGGCTGGGTGGTTAGAGATGCTTGCGCCTACAAAGGAACAGTGTTTGCCATTTCATACCAGGTGATAGGTGCGGTTTCTGGTAGGAAGTTGCTCTTTGGGGATAGTCCCTAGGATCTGGGACATCAACTCTTGTGGTAATGACTCATGGAAACCTAGCCCAGCCCAGAAGCACTGCACCCAAACCTCCACCTGTCCCAGACAAGACAAGCTGCCTTGATCATCTACACCCTGAGTCCAATAAGGGTTCAGGGAAGAGGCAGGTAGGCTTCTCAGGTGCAGCTGCTCCTGCCCACCACTCTGGCATGAGCTGGGTGTTTCTGTGTTCCTCCTGCCCTCTTGGCCTAGACATCCAGGCACACCACGCTGGAGCCCTGGGGACAAAATAGACACGGGCCAGCCCTCCTTGAGATTAGTCTAATCAGGTGAGACAAACTGCCTCCCCCAAATCTGGAGACTGTGGGAAGTGAGACAGAAGGCTGAACCCTAACCTAACAGGCAGGTCCACCTGGATGACCCCTAGCCCTGGGACAAAGAGCATGGTAAGCCATATAAATACAGTTTTTCAGGGACTGAGTGGGGCAGCTTTTACCCCTTGCTGTGTTGAAGGTTACTTTAACTTAGCAGGCTGGGCCTTAGTTTTCCCAGCAGTAAAATGGTTAAGACAATATATACCACTGCACTCTTTAGTTGAAATTGTGATGGAGGTTCCTGATAAGAATCGAAACATTAATCTGGACATTTAAGCATTGACATTATGTACTCACAGCTGAGCTGGGCTGTCAATTCCTGCTTTGAAAGTACAGTTTACTCTTAACAACAGGACTTTGAACTGTATGGGTAACATCTACAGTGTTTTGGATCATATAAAACAATATTGATGTAGGTACCGAGAGACCAATAAGTCATCTTGTAAACAATGTAAACTTGGGCTATCAATAATTACAGTACAGTGCTGGTAAATGTATTTTCTCTTCCTTATGATTAAAAAAAATATTTATTTAGGCTGCACCAAGTCTTAGCTGCGGCACAAGGGATCTTTAGTTGCATCATGTGGGATATATTTCCCTGATCAGGGATCTACCTTGGGCCCTGCATTAGGAGCACAGAGTCTTAGCCACTGGACCACCAGGGAAGTCCCCTATGATTTTCTTAATAACATTTTCTTTTATCTAGCTTACTTTATTGTAAGAATACAGTGTATAATACATAGAAATACAACATGTGTTAGACTATTTATATTATGGGTAAGGCTTCTGGTCAACAGTAGTTAAGTTTGCAGTAAGTCAAAGGTTATATTCAGATTTTCAAGTATGGCGCCCCAACCCCCATGTTGCTCAAGGGTCAACTTGGGTGGAAGCTTTGGTCCAGCATAACATGCCTACGCAGGGCAAATATTTTAACATGCGTGAAGAGCCAGGCTTATTCCAACACACTATTGCTTAGGTTATTCTCACCTTCTGGTGATAAAGCAAAGTGTGTTTCAGGGAATTCCCTGGTGGTCCAATGGCTAGGACTCTGCGCTTATACTGCAGGGAGTGAGTGGTTCCAGCATCCACATCAGGCACATTTAAAAGATCAATTATATGGACATATTCATACCTTAGGGCAAGAGCGTCAGGAGAAGTAAGACCCCCTTTACTTGTTTGTTGTCTGTGTGCTATGCTTAGTTGCTTAGTCATGTCCGACTCTGCGAACCCATGGACTGTAGCCCGCCAAGTTCCTCTGTCCACGGGGATTCTCCAGGTAAGAATACTGGAGTGGGTTGCCATGCTTTCCTCCAGGGGATCTTCCCAACCCAGGGATCATTTGCTGTCAACATACTGCAAACCTATGCTTTCTACATGTGCCTGGTTTAGTGAATAAAATGATTACCTAGTTTTCACTAAATTAACCTTCACAAGAGGCCAGCAGCTCAAGCAGTTCTGGAAAGAGGCTGTGGATTAAAGATATGCCTAGTGATTGGAGGGGCTTCCTGGCTGGCTCAGCCATGAAGAATTCGCCTGCCAAACAGGTTCCATCCCCGAGTTGGAAGAAGAGCCTCTGGAGAAGGAAATGGCAGCTCACTCCGGTTTTCCCACTCGCCTGGGAAATCGAATGGACAGAGGAATCTGGCTGGCTACAGTTCATGGGGTCACAGAGTCGGACACGACTTAGTGACTAAAGCACCACAGTGATGCGAGGCAAGCAAACAATGGTAAAGGACAGAGCTGGCACCTAGGCAAGTGTAAGTTTCACAAAGTTAAAGACACTATTCTTATACGACACAGATGAACCCGCGGCAGGTAGTGACGGTGGTTCAGAAGCCGATTCTGAGGAGCCGGATTCTTAGAGGCACTGAGAGAAGTTTAGGGTAAGATGCCGTAACTGGTAATACTCTACAGGGCAACCGAAAGCCATCACCTCCAGGGCCACCTTTTCTGCAGGGCGGTTTTTATTAGCGCCTCCATCAGACACGCGGAATACAGGGACTCAAGGCGACGCAGTCCAAGGTCACCCGATCAGTCCTGGAGGCCCTGGAGCTGGGGACCATCTCAAAAGCCTTTCTCTCCCACACTCGACCCCGGGGAGGAGCTTTTTCATTAGCAGATTAACAACCAGCCTGGGGTTGGGATTGGGGGTAGGGGGTGTGGTTAAAGTGAAAGCTGACAAGCAGCAGTTAAGATTCCAAATTTTTCGAAAGCAGACGATGTACAGTGGGGATTTCCATCAGAAGGCAGTGATAACGAGTAATAACGCGTGTGCCGGTGCAGGGTTGGGGACGTGCGCCCAAGTTCCCATTCGAAGCAGGGCCACCAGGGGGATTTCGCCCGGAGTACGGGCGTACTGGCGCGGCCTGCAATCCCGTTTGCAGGGGCTACAGGTTTACGGTCCCGCACAGAGAATCCGGGAAACGCGGAGCGGGAGGAAAACCAATTCAGCCCGAGAGCCCACCCAACAGGGCCCCACGCGGTAGGCTCCTCGGCGCCCCGCTGCCTCCGCACCGATTAATTTTAGGAGTGAGTAGAGTTCGTCCCTGTGAGATCCCACGCGAGCCCCTCCCGCGTGAGACCCGCAGCACCGCCTCTCTCTCTCTCCTCTCTCTCCCTCTCTCCCTCTCTCTCCTCTCTCTCTCTCTGCGGCCAGTCTCCGTTCCCTTTTCTCGTGACCAGGGACACCCCGCCCCTTCCGAGGCGTGGCCTCGACGCACGCTCATACGCACGCGCGATGGCGTCACTTCCTGGCGGCGGCAGCGGCGCGGGGCCTTGCTTCCGCTTTCCGCTGCGGCGCGCGCTCGGCTCTCAGCCCGTTCGGTATCATGGCGGCTACGGCCACGATGGCGACCTCGGGTTCGGCGCGGAAGCGGCTGCTCAAAGAAGAAGACATGACCAAAGTGGAATTCGAGACTAGCGAGGAGGTGGACGTGACCCCCACGTTCGACACCATGGGCCTGCGGGAGGACTTGTTGCGCGGCATCTATGCCTACGGTAGGTGGGCTCGGGGCGCGGGCTGAGGGAGCCCACGGAGAGAGCAGGGGCCCGCCCGGGGGTGGGGCCCGAGACTGGGAGTCCAGCGGCCCTGGATGCTGGCGGTCGGAGGTGAGGCCTAGCCCGGGGGCCCTACCCGCTTTTGTGTCGGCTGGTTCAAGTGTTCTCTGGGCAGGGCGCCGTGCTGGGTCCCGCGGAGGGCTACAGGGTCCTCTGTGCACTCCCAAGTCATTCATTCAGTGGATGACTGTCTTGTAATTAACAGGCGCTAGGACGTGCGCGGCTCTAGGGACTGAGGGCTTAGCAGTGAACCAGACAGGCCTAGGGAGCTTAAGTTGCATTTGGGAGAAAGACGAAGTGGTAATGGCTACGAAGAAAATAGAGCGAGTTAACTGGATCAAGCATGACTGGGGAAGGAGAGAGTTAATAGGGCAGTTAGGTTTGGGGCCTCCCAGGCTGGCATTTGACCTGAGATCTGGGACAAAGCCCGTTATGAGTAGATTATGGTAGAACCAAGCAGAGAGAGAAGCTGGTCCCACTGCCCTGCAGCCTGAAGCCTTGTGTATTTCAAGAAGAAAAAGAATCCTCCTGTCCTGGGAACCTAGGGGCGAGATTGGGGCGCGGGAGGGGCACAGCCAACAAAGCGTGGTGCCAGGTGATGAAGAATTTGAACTTTATTTCTAAATCCAGTGGGAGGCCTTTGGAGGGTTCTAAACAGGGAAGCGGTGGGATCAGGTTACAGTTACAGAGGTGGTCCTGGGTGTCTGAAAACGGGGGGTTGAGGGGGCGGGGAGGTGAGGCGAGGCTGGAGAGGAATCAGGGAATGTTAAGAGGCTTTTGTTCTAGTCCAGGGAAGTGATGATGGTATTGTGTTGGAAATGGAGTGCTGACGGTTTGATTATGGGTTGAATGTGAGGCTCAGAGAAAAGTCCTGGATGTGTGAATAACTGGGTGGGTGATGATGCCCTCTCTTCTGGTGGGGGGCACTGGAGGGAACTCTTACTGGATGAGTGGAGCTTGAGCGACCTGTGAACTATCCAGTAGGACATGTAAAGGAGGCAGCTGGGGAGCCTGAGAAGAGGTGGGGTTGGGGATGCAGATGGGAGTGATCAGCACTTGTGCTTAATGCCTGGGACTGGGACAGACATCTTTTCTATCCAGCAGTCTCTGACACTGTGACAGTTCAGCACAGAGAAGGTGCTGAGGGAATGGGAGGTGTAGAGCCATAGCAGCCAGGCCTGGTAGTGTGGCTGACAGCCCTACCTGCCTCTGGGCACCCAGGACATCGCTGCCCTAAAAACACTGTTTTTAGTTTCCCAATCCATGTGCTGGGTCATCGTGAGGGGTTATGTTTCCTTTTGTGTTAGATATGAGAGTATTATATTTTAGAAAACTACCAGAAATTGAAGTATGCTGTTTATCTTCTTGCACAATAGAGGGATGGTGTTGTAGTTCATGTAGCTGCATCAAGCAGGAATATGATCCAAGCAGTAGATGAAATGGAGTTCTAGGTGATATGAACAACTTGCAGACTTACTACTGGTTGGGAGCGGTGACTACAGTATTGATTGGTTTATCCTCCTTTTTTACCTTAAAAAGTAATGTCACAGAACCCCCAGCAGTGAAGGTTATTGTAATGTAGCCAAACAATACACAAGTAATTGGAGTAGAGTGTGAGCCTCCCTCACCCCCATTCTCCAGGAGTAACCACTGACATTCTTTTTTTAACCTCAGGTCTCTGTTTTGCCATGATGTTCCTTAGAGAGTGTTTCTGTATAAATAAGATTGTGTGTTAGTATAAAAATCCCCTTCAGCCTAGTACTTCATTCACTAGCAGTTTCTTCCGAGCTTAGTATGTTGGACATTGGGTTACGAGTAGGTGGGGAATTTTAAAAAGATACCATCTTCCCCACAGGGAGCTCCAGTGATGGTTTTAAGTATGCTGTCCTAGTGGCTAGAGCTCATTTTTTTGTTTTAATTTACAGGTTTTGAAAAACCATCAGCAATCCAGCAGCGAGCTATTAAGCAGATAATTAAAGGAAGAGATGTCATTGCACAGTAAGTCTGCTCATGCAGTAGGAGTCAGGTGCTAGTCAGCACAGGAATGTGTAGTTCAGTGCTTCTCCATTCAAACACCTTTACCAGCTCTTGAGTTGACTTCAGCTATAGGCTGTTTTTATTTTTGTGTCCTCCACTCTAGAAAGCATTCTTTTTTTCTTTAAGCCAGTTTACTTACCTATCGTTTGGTGTGTGAAACTATTCATTAATACTCTTTTAATAGCTATGTTTCTGATTTGCCTAATTTTTGGAGACTCATTTACCAAAAAAAAAAGTCAAATTGTAGAAAAGAATTATATAAAAGGTAATTTTTTTCTGCTGCCTGGAACACCCATTCTACAGATTCTGCAGTTCTGTAACCCCGTGATGCAAAGGCCACTTTTACTGTCCTTATCACCTGTGATTTAAAGGTTGTGCCTGAGTCCTGCCCCCTTGTGGTTAAGATGTTGGTTAGGGCATTAGGGTCAGTGAAGGGGGGACTCTCCTTGGAAGAAGCTGCCTAAGTGCTTCTGCAGCCCACCGCCTCAAGAGTACTGCTGCAGCAGGGGTTACATGAATGGGAGCAGTGGCATGTAGCCCAACATTCTACATCCCATTTATCTATGTTTTCTTTACTAGATCTCAGTCTGGTACAGGCAAAACAGCCACCTTCAGTATTTCTGTCCTCCAGTGTTTGGATATTCAGGTAATCTTAAACTTTAATCCTTGGAAATACTTCCTTTACCTTCTGTAACTACAGTGTTCAAGAAGTACAGTTCTTAAATACATCTAGTTGTACTGAATAAGCATTTTTTAAGAGAATCTTAATTGTACACTAATATCTGAGCTAATATCCTGTCAGAAATTCCTTTTTATTTAAACAGTTTTTAAAGTTTATTGAAATGCAGTTGATTTGCAATGCTACATTAGTTTCAGATGTACAGCAAAGTGGTTCAGATGTTTGTGTGTATATATATACACATACGTATATACTTTTAAAGATTCTTTTTCATTATGAGTTATCTATTTTATATATATTAGTAGTGTGTATATTTTAATTCCAAACTCCTCTAATTTATCCCACCCCCCCACCCTTTACCATATAATAACCATAGATTGTTTTCTGTGTCTGTAAATTGGGAGGTTTTTTTAACTAGTGGAAATCCTTGTCTGCGAACAAGAGTCCTGACTAGTATACCTCATTATTGCGGGTTATCTGGTTTAAGTAATTTCAGACTTGCTTACCTGAAATCAAGATGTATGGTTACATGAGGTGATATTCAGAATAGATCTGAGTCTGAATATGTGCAGTCTACCTGGAGAAGGGAATGGCACCCACTCCAGTATTTTTGCCTGGAGAATTCCATGGACAGAGGAGCCTGGCGGGCTACAGTCCATGGTGTCGCAAAGAGTCGGACACAACTGAGCAACTGACACACACACACCCCTCTCGAAAATACTGAGGTTCTCTATTTTCTAACAAAAATTATTTTCCTAGGTTCGTGAAACCCAAGCTTTGATCTTGGCTCCAACAAGAGAGTTAGCTGTACAAATCCAGAAGGTGAGATCGTTAAAGATAGAAATGTCATATTTGCAAGTACACTTGATCCTTGAACCACATGAGTTTGAACTGCGTGAATCCCATTTATATGCAGGTTTTTAAAAATATATGCATACTACAGTACTGCCTGATCTGAATTTAGGTGGTTCCAAGGATAGGAAGGGCTGACTGAAGTCTGTGTGGATTTCTGACTAAGCTTAGGTTTAGGGGTGTCTGAAGTCAGTATATAGGCGTCATCCCTAACCTCCCTCCCTGCCATTCACACTGGTCAAGCCAGCTGATTGACTTAATTGAATCTGTTTTTTCTCTTCTGTTGGAGTTTTTTCCCCCGATTCCTCATGTTTTGCCATAAATCACTGGTTTGTATGAAGTCATCTTTAGTTCTGCTTGTATGATTCCCCTTAGTTTTTTGCAGTCTTAGAATTATAATTTTTTTCGAAAGTCCATTTTTAATAAAAATAATTGTAACTATTTTGTTTTTATAGTGTAAACACTGTGGACATGGAAATGTGTTTGTTAAGATGTTAATATTGTCTCCAGGTGGTAGGATTGTGAATTTTGCATGTTTTGTTACTTTTCTATAGTTTCTAATACATACTGTTTTTATAATAAGAAAACAGTAAAACTGATTTCATTCTGGGGCAGAAAAGAGTGGAAGGAGGAGACTTGGGCTGTCTGTAGTTTTATAATAGAAGTAATAGCATAAACAATACCTGATGGTCACTTTAAATTAGAATAGAAGCAGTCTTCGTTTGGGGAGAACTCAGATGTTTCTGGCTTTAGAGTGGTCTTGGGGCAGACCTTGGACATGAACCTGTGTTTTAATTCAGGGCCTGCTTGCTTTGGGTGACTACATGAATGTCCAGTGCCATGCCTGCATCGGGGGCACCAATGTGGGGGAGGACATCAGGAAATTGGACTACGGACAGCACGTTGTTGCCGGCACACCTGGGCGTGTCTTTGGTGATTAATTGCTTTTGTCTATAAAAAGTGCTTCACTGATAGAGGACTATTTTCATTTTGATACGCTACCTGATAACTTTTTGCATTTGAGTAACTTAAGAAGTAGAGGGAAGGTCCCTGAAATTGATGAAAACTGGTTGAAATGGCTGGCTCTTTACTTATAACCTGACCTGTACTTATTTGGAAATCTAATTTTATAGATATGATTCGTCGCAGGAGTTTGAGGACACGTGCTATCAAGATGTTGGTTTTGGATGAGGCTGATGAAATGTTGAATAAAGGTATGGATAACGAGTTTTCTAGAATTGGGATGTATTTCATGTATTTCCACTAAAATACATGAAGACAAGTAAGTGAGGACTCCTAAGTGACAGCAGTTGCGCTCTTAATACAGTGACTGGGAAATGTGTAACGGCAGCTGTCACCTTGCTTTAGTAGCAGCTGTGACCAGTACCTCAGAGTCTTCACGCCTCTGTTCCCTGCACTCCCCTCTCTGCGGTCTTACTTCCACATCAGGGGCCGGGTGGGTCATCTCTAGATACTCTGGTCGCCCAGTGTAAAGGGAATAGTTTCCTTCTCAGGAGTCACCAGTAACTCGTGGGGTTCTTCCCAGGTGTTTTTCTGGTCCCTGGTTCTTGAGCAGTTCTCTTAGAACCTAGAGGCTAATGCTGTCCCTCGGAGCTGCTCTCCACCCCACGTCTGTGGGGCCCCTTACCTGGAGGTCCTGCTCGTCAGCAAAGTTAAAGGTACAGTTACTACAAAGTGAGGTCTCCAGACCAGCGACATCTTTGTCAGCTGGGAGTGCATTGGAAATACAGCGTCTGGACCCCGATCTCGGCAGTCAGGGCCTCGCAGCTGCTTGTCTCCTTCTCATGTGCCTGTCTCCTAGCCCCATCCTGCAGAGGTGGTGGTGTGGTGACCCGAGGGTGAGATCTTTATTCATTCATCCTGTACCCTGTGAAATAATGTAAACTAGTTGCATTATTTAATAGGGAGGTTTTTAAGTCAAGATATCATTGATATGTAACATTTTCAGGTGTACAACATGACTCAGTATCTGTGAGAGATTGGTTTTGAATGGGGGTTTTTTTTTAATTGAAGATTTTTTTGGTGAAAATCCAGATCTCTGGATTTACTTAAAATATAGCAGGTTTGGCCACCTTGGGTGTACGTCCTCAGGGCGCCAACAGCTGGAACTGAGGTATGACCACCTGGCAGAGGCCCAGGGCTGTGGGCTCAGGTTTCTGTTGCTTTTAGCTGTTGGCATCCAGGACTCTTGGGTGGGATCGTGGTCGCCAGAGCACACCAGGGAGAGAGGAGGGGTGTGAGAATTTGGTCTAGCTCTGTAAGAAGATTGCTTGTGAAATCTCATACCTTAAAACCACAGTGCTACATCTAATTAAATGAATGATTGATGTGCGACTTGTGTCAGAGTGTGCAGCCTTAAAAATTCCTGTGTGTCTCATTCCTCATCCCAGGTTTCAAAGAACAGATCTACGATGTTTACAGGTACTTGCCCCCAGCCACGCAGGTGGTGCTCATCAGTGCCACGCTGCCCCATGAGATCCTCGAGATGACCAACAAGTTCATGACCGACCCCATCCGCATCTTGGTAAAACGGTGAGGATGCCCTATTTCTCAAGAGAGACTAAAATATAGCATAGTTGTATCAGGTTTTCAGTTCAGTTCTGTTGCTCAGTCCTGTCCGACTATCTGCGACCCCAGGACTGCAGCATGCCAGGCTTCCCTGTCCATCACCAACTCCTGGAGCTTGCTCAGACTCAATGTCCATCGAGTTGGTGATGCCATCCAATCATCTCATCTTCTGTTGTCCCCTTCTCTTGCCTTCAGTGTTTCCCAGCATCAGGGTCTTTTCCAGTGAGTCAGTTCTTTGCCTCAGGTGGCCAAAGTTTTGGAACTTTAGCATCAGTCCTTCCAATGAATATTCAGAACTGATTTCCTTTAGGATTAACTGTTTTGCTGTCCTTGCAGTCCAAGGGACTCTCGAGTCTTCTCCAGCACCACAGTTCAAAAGCATCAATTCTTCGACTCTCAGCTTTCTTTATGGTCCATCTCTCAATCCATACAGAACATGAAAATTCTTTTGAATTTTCTCTTTTGAAAAGCAAGCTTTTATATATTCTCCTTTGATTCAGTAATTTCAGATATAAAAATTTGCTGATAGTATTTATTTATCAGTGAGATTATTTGTCACTGGGAATAAAATGTGTATTCTATTTAACAGCCAAGCATTTTGTTCAGAACCATATACAAGGTGTGGTTAAAGGTTCAGACAACCCTGTGCTTGGGCTCATGCAGTGGAAGTGGTGACTCCTGGGAGGATGTGGCCGGTGGGAGGGGTGGGGATTTAATGACCAGACTCCTGTGCCGCCGGGATTCAGACCGGCGCCTGGGCTGTGTGCGCCCTTGTTTGAGTTGGAAGGATGAGTTGACAAAATTGTCTTTGTCCTCCAGTGATGAACTGACTCTTGAAGGCATCAAGCAGTTTTTTGTGGCTGTGGAACGGGAAGAGTGGAAGTTTGACACCCTGTGTGACCTCTATGACACGCTGACCATCACACAGGCTGTTATCTTCTGTAACACCAAGAGGAAGGTGCGTGGTTGTCCCGGCTCTTCAATGTCCTTGTGGCAAAACAAAAAGCGAAAATCATAGAACTTAGACTTTTTCTATTGAGGGCCAGAAGTACGTGTTTCAGGCTCTGGGTACATGGTCTCTGCAGCATATGCTTGGCTTTGCCCTTTAGATCAAAGTTGCCATATGTGATGGGTGGACAAGCGAGTATGTCCAGGGAACATGTGCACAGGGTGGTGTTCTGGTCCCGTGATTGTAGGCTCGGAATCACTGGTTTGGATGGTACCGGAGCCTGCATTTTGTGAGCTCCCATGTGATGCTGATGTGCCGGTAGAGCTAGAACCCTGGCAACTTTCCTTGGAAAAGGAGGATTTCGACTACATTCTAAGAAAGATGGGAATTTAAATTTCTAATGAGAACACTGACACACATATATATGAATTTTTTTAAAGAGAATTTTTGCCCCAATATTTGCTGGGCAAATTTAAATTTTCTACACATCCAGTGAAGATCGGTGTGAGTTTTAAGAACACTTGTTTTATGAGTATTGTATTGGTCCTGCAGGTAATTGACATGAAATCCTGAATCCAGTCTCTGGTTTGGTTTGTGAGCTTATGGCAGCACCTGTCGATTCCATCTGTAGGTTGACTGGCTGACGGAGAAGATGAGGGAAGCTAACTTCACCGTTTCATCCATGCACGGGGACATGCCCCAGAAGGAACGAGAGTCCATCATGAAGGAGTTCCGGTCGGGTGCCAGGTGGGTTGGCTGCGCCCTCTGCTCCTGTGCTAGGGCCACAGGCCAGCATTTACGGGGTGTTACCTGAGCTCAGGGAGGTTGCTGACATGCTTGGTGAGCAGGGCAGCCACGGTAGTGTGATAGACTAGGCTGAGGTGAAAACTAACCTTAACTAGAGGATCAGTTGTCTTATTTCGAAGCATATTTTTCTTGTTTCAAAAAAAATGGGGATTTTCTGTTTATCATTTTGTATTGGCTTTAGCTTAATCCCACTGCAGCTGGCGAACCCGCTTTGTATGATTTCTTCCCCTCAGTGTGTATCAGACTTGCCTTGTGGCCCAGCGTGGGGTTGTCTTGAGACCATTCTCTGTGCTTGGACCGGATGGGTGCTGCGCTGTGCTGGCGCCCGTGTCCTGGCTGTGCCTGTTGGCTTTCAGTTGGTTAAGTGTGTTTCTCAGACCTGCATCCTTACCCCTCTCCCCTTGACTCTTGTTTCATCTGTGTTGAGAGTGCTTGTCTTTCTCTTGGGGGTTCTGCTTGTGTGTCCAAGTTCAGAATTACTAGATGTCTGGGGGATTTAGCCGTTACCTTGGAAGTACCTGCCTGCTTCACTAGGGCCTCTGTCCTGAGCCCTGCTCCGTCTGCGCCAGCTTCCCTAGTGCACTTTTCTTCCTGCACATCTGGTTTCCAGACTTAAGCTTTAGATGAATTTCAGGCAACCAGCATAGTGTTGGGTCTTGTTTTTCCTCTCCTTTAAAAAAAAAAGTTAATTGGTTTGTTTGACTGTGCCAGCTCTTAGTTGCAGCTCGTGGAATCTTTAGTTGCGGCTTGTGTGGTCTGGTTCCCCAACCAGGGATTGAACCCAGGCCCCCTGAATTGGGAGCTGAGAGTCTTAGCCCATGGACCACCAGGGAAGACCCTATTTTTCCTCTTTTAATCTGATGATGATTGCTATCTTTTAATTGGAACATTTAGCCCAGTTTTGTTTAATATAAGGCTGTTTATTTACTGTTGTTTGTTCAGTCACTCAGTTGTGTCCAACTCTTTGTGACCCCATGGACTGCAGTATGCCAGGCTTCCCTGTCCTTCACTATCTCCTGGCATTTGCTCAGACCCATGTCCATTGAGTCGGTGATGCTATCCACCCATCTCATCCTCTGCTTCCCCCTTCTCCTCCTGCCTTCAGTCTTTCCCAGCTTCAGGGTCTTTTCTAATGAGTCAGCTCTTCACATCAGGTGGCCAAAATATTGGAGCTTCAGTTTCAGCATCAGTCCTTCCAGTGAATATTCAGGATTGATTGCCTTTAGGACTGACTGGTTTGATCTCCTTGCTATCCAAAGGACTCTCAAGCACCACAATGCTAAAGCATAATTCTTTGGTGCTCTTATAATTGTTTTTAAATTTTATAAGATAAAATTGTGTATCTTTAAGTGTATTTTACTTGTCATTTCTTTAGTTTGGGTTTTATTCTTGTTATTCCTTTCTTCACTTTTTATTTTGGAAGATGTTTATATTTTATTTCTTTGTGTTGTTTAACTGCTGATGATGCTGAAGAGTTATCAGCAACTGTGGTTGATGGTGCTTTTATCATCTCCCCTGAGGGTATAGAGAACTTGAAACCCTTGACTTTGGTGACCCTCCAGACTTGTGTTGCTGTTTTCATGTGTTTTAATTTACATGTATTTCAACCCCCACAAGATGTTTTTGCTTCATATAACGAAATGGATATAATTCATATCATAAATGCTTTGTGCTGACCACACTCATTAGTCTTCTTGCTTTCCTTTATCTCTGAGCAGCTTCCGTCAGGGCTGCGTTTCCTTCTGCCTGAAGAATGTCTCTTATTGCGTTTGTGTCAACTGGTCTCTGAAAATGTCTACTTCATCTTATAACATCTCCTGATGTTGAAGGAGGCAGTCCAGCGGGATTGGTCCCAGGAGTCCCATGGACATCAAACTCTGGGCACTCACATTCCTTATGTGAAGTGGCCCGGTGCAGTTGGCCTTCTGTGTTTGGTGTTTATTGGTTGCCATTGTTCCTGTCGAGACGCCACTCCTGTGAAAACTGTTTTTTCTGCAGGCTCTTCCTTAGGTCTATTTCGTTTGTGTTTTGTTTGAGTGGTTTTCACCCTCATGGGTCCATGTGTGATTTGGTCTTACTCCTGCTGTTTGGAGTTTGTATGGCTCTTGGCCTCACCCCTCTGGCTCCATTCTTTGCTGTCCCTCTGGAGAGGAGCAGCACCTCTCCTGTTTTTTTGAACTTTTTTTCCTGTTATATTGTCCCTTTAAACTTTGAATGTTTCTAGACCAGTGATGTCCAGTAGAAATGTAAATCAAGTAAACATATGTTATTTAATCCTGTATATCATTTCAACATATAATCAGCATTAAAAATATTAATGAGGTTTTTTGCCCTTTTTTTTTTGGTACTAAGTATCAAATATAGTGTGAATTTTACACCTTCAGGCAGTCTCATTTCAGACCAGCCACTCCAGTGCTTTGGGAGCTGGTGGCCTCAGCATTGGTTAGTGTGGGTCTGTGGTGTGTCAGATTCTGTCCTTTGTGAAGGACAGGGTAGTGTGAGTTGTACTTCTAATTAGAAGACACTGTGTTTGGTGTGCACCAAGATCAGTGAGGCTGGTGTACTTGATTTTTTGTTAGAAGTAAAATGTCCTCAGGTAGTGGTGACTCTAAACAAATTAAATGTAGTAAAGATAGCCTCTGTGTGTGTGTGTCTGTATATATACACACACACACATATATATGTATTGTTTTATTTTAATGAGATAAGCACATGACTTAAGTAACTAAGTAAACCAAACACGCCTTCTGAATGGGGCCTTCTGGTGCTGCCCTGCACGCTTCAGCCTGCAGAGAGACCAGTGTGAGGAGCCCTAGTGTGCTCGTAGCTGGTCTGACCCTTTTCCGCTAGGTGATTGTCTCAAATGCCTTTCTTTCTGCAGCCGAGTGCTCATTTCTACGGACGTCTGGGCCCGGGGGCTGGACGTGCCCCAGGTGTCCCTCATCATTAACTATGACCTGCCCAACAACAGAGAGCTGTACATACACAGGTATGCCATGCAGGCTTTTTCTTGGTTTCATTCTTGTTGGTGGATGTACTGAAACCTTCTTTGCTATGTTTACTAAACTGATTGTGCTTTATTCTTGAAGAATTGGGCGATCAGGTCGATACGGCCGAAAGGGTGTGGCCATTAATTTTGTAAAGAATGATGATATCCGCATCCTCAGAGACATCGAGCAGTATTACTCCACTCAGATCGATGAGATGCCCATGAACGGTGAGACCCTAAGTCTGTCTGTGATTGTTGTAGGAAGAACTTCCTGGTTCCTAGTTTGGGGCACTTGAGGTTTTTCCCGTTTTGCTTTGTTTTTATGAAGTCTTTCGTGAGCCTTTAGTTAACTTTATAAATTTTCATTTTGTTTGTATTATTTCTTATTGTTTATCTTTCTTCACTTTCAGTTGCTGATCTGATCTGAAAAATCTGCTCACTGGAGCCTCTTCACCTCTTTTGTATCAGTTTGGATTTTGTATCAGTTTGGAAATATTTAGAGGCGGTTTCTATTTAAGGGGGTTTGTGCGAACTTTATTCTCAAGGAATCTCCCCCCCTCCCCACCTCACCCCAGGATGAACTCTGGAGATGGGGCCACCTTTTCTTACCCATGTGTAAATAATGCATTGCTTTAAGTCTTTTTCATTAAACATTTAAAACTTTTCCCATAAATTCTAATTTGTATTTCTTAAGGTGGACCCAGCTTTTCTAGTGACCTACTGTCTGTCTGATCTCCTTTTATTCTGATTTTTGACCTTTAAGATGGTGAAATAGAAATGGTAAGCTGCTTGGCCTCGCCACACTTCCCCAGATTGGTACCTGATCCCATTTCTTAGGGATGGCAGGTGGAGGAGTCAGACCATCAGTACTTTTCTTTGGGTTGGCCTGGGTCTGTGTGCCTGGGTGCAGAGGGCAAGATAGGATCCCTGGGCGGATAACTGTAAGGAACTGTTCACAGCCAGGCTTCTCTGGATTAATGAGCCCCCCCCCTCCCCCCCCGTCATGGCTGAGGAGAGGCCACACATAAGGCACCATGGGTGATTCAGGGAGGGGCCGACAGGAAACAAGCCACAAGGGAAGACCCCCTAAGAAGCTCAGCCTAAATCAGATGATGTCAAGTAAGGAAACAAATGCAGACGTCCATATAAGTGTACCCTTGGGGATGATTGAAAAGCGGTATGTGATTACCAAAGGTTTCATAACCATTAGCCCTGAGTGAAGTTGGTGAAGACGTGGGTGTGTGATGTTCACATGAGTAGGTACAGACTTTCTGGAAAGCAGCTGGGCTCTTGGGCAGTGGGAGCCATTGGAATGATACTTCCCTTTGAGGGAGTCGCTCTGCCGTCAACAGTAGTCTGGAGTGCAGACTGCACAGGTGTGCTCACCAGTGTCCCCCGGCACCAGGAAAGGAGGCCTGGAAAGGAGTGTGCATCACCAGGGGCTTGGGGAGGGAAATGATGTCCTATATGCACTGATGCACATGGGTGGGGGTTATTGGGTGGGTGTCTGGGGCTGCTAGTGTGACAGGCCAAGTGGGTTCATCTGTTCTCCATGGGCTAAGTGTTGGAGTTGGTGTGGAAATAATCCAGATGCCCACTGAACTGAAAGATGCAAGCACACCTGATGGATATTGTTTGGCAATGGGAAGGAATGAAGAGCTGGCACATGTTGCAATTTGAACCTTGAAATAGGCTGAGTAGAACAAGCCAATCACAAAGGGCCACAGAAGTGCTTCTGTTTCTGTTCAATGTCCTAAATTGGTAAATCCATAGAGACAGTGGGTAACCAGTTTTCTGGGGGCTGAGCGGGAGTGACTGCTGAAGGGTACAGGGCTTCTTTGGGGGTGATGGAAATGTTCTGGAACTAGAAGTATGGTTGCAAGATTCTATGAATATACTAAAAGGTACGGAATTGTACATTTTAAAATGGTAAATCGTGTGGTTATGTGAACTGTGTCAAAAATCAGGTGGGGAATCTAACACTTCCTCTAAATTATTCTTTAAAAGGGCATGGGCAAGGGGGGAAATACTTGTAAAGCATGTACTTGACAAAAGACAAACTGGAAAATACGAAGAATTTTATGTGTAGGTAGAATGATGGTCCCTCCAAATGTGTGCTCAGTTGCTTAGTTGTGTCCAACTTTTTGTGACTCTGTGGACTGTAGCCTACCAGGCTTCTCTGTCCATGGAATTTCCCAGGCAAGAATGCTGGAGTTGATTGCCATTTCCTTCTCCAGGGGTTCTTCCTGACCCAAGGATTGAACCCATGACTCTGGAGTCTCCTGCATTGGCAGGCAGGTTCTTCACTACTAGCGCCATCTGAGAATTGGGTTCTAACATGACAAACTCGGAACTGAGGGCTACTAATTGTTTATCAACTTCCATTTTTTTCTTAGGACCTCAGACAGTAGTGAAAATAAACAAGGAATTATACTGTCAGTGCTGTGGGCAAGAATATGTCCTAGATAAGGAGTCTCTGTTAAGAAATCCATCTGAGGGCTTCCCCGATGGCTCAGTGGTAAAGAATCTGCCTACCAATGCAGGAAACACAGGTTTGATCCCTGATCTGGGAGGATCCCACATGGCTCAGAGCAAACTAAGCCTGTGCTCTAGAACCCAGGAGCTGCAACTGCTGAGCCCGTGTGCTCCAGCGACTAAAGCCCATGCTCCCTAGAGCTCATGCCCCCCAAGGAGAGAAGTCACACACCACAGCTAGAGAGTAGCTCTCATTCAGAGATTAGAGAAACCCACCTACCCCATTCCCAAATGCCCACATCCTAATCCCTGGAACCTGTGAATATCCCACATTAAATGGCCAGAGGGACTTTGCAGGTGAGATTAAGTTAAAGAATTTGAAGGGCTACCATGGGTCAGAGAGTGGTGTAATGGAAGAGGCGGTAGAGAGTGTCATTGGTGAGGATTCAGCTCACTGTTGCTGCATTTGGTGCCCCGAGCTATGATCTGGAATAGCCCTTAGAAGCTCAGGAGGATGTGTAGGTGACAGCACACCTCAGACCTGTGTGCTCGGGAGACAATTCTGCCAACAACCCGAAAGAGCAAGGGAGCCTCCAGAGAGGAAGCAGCAGCCCTACTAACACCTGATTTTAGCCTGGCGAGACCAAGTCAAACCTCTGACCTACAGAACTGTGATAGAATAAATCTGTTATTTTAAGCCATGGAGATTGTGGTAATTTGTCAGTAGCAATGGAAAAACTTTTATAACTCAGGGGGAACAAATCCAAGTAAAAAGTAGGCAAAATACCTGAATAGACACTTGATCAAAGATTTATGAGTGACATAAGTCCAGGAAAAGATGCTCACCATCTTCAGGCATTAGGAACACAGATCACACCCATGAAATCTACTGTCACTGGAATGGCTGAAATTGAAGAGACCAGACCAAGCCACAGCGAAGCTGGTAGGAGCACAGAGCGAGTCACTCACTTTGGAAAATAGTTCAATCACACACACACCCCCTCCATATGACCTGACTGTATCATGCTTGGTGTCTGCTCAAGAGAAATGAAAACGTCCATTCACACTGGTCCGCGACTGCTGACCACATCTTTATTCCTAACAGTGAAAGGCTGAAAACACTCTTAACACCATTATAATTTGATAAACCGTGTGGCACCTTCCGTACCACAGAAAACTATTTGGCAATGAAAAAGTACCCATACAACATGGATGAATCAAAGTAGTTAGACTAATATTAGCCCCCTTCCCCCCAAAAGAGCTGTATGATTCCATTTATAGAAAATTCAAAAAAATGTAAACTATAGTGACCAAAAGCAGACTAGTGGTTGCCTGGGAACGGAAGTGTGGGCGTAGCAGCTTTAGTCCATAGAGCCCTTGAGCAGGGTTGGGGAGGGCATGCATCTCCCACCAGGTGACTGACACCAGGCCTGGCTGGCTGTTCTCCAGTCAGCTGAGAGAGGATACTAGGGTGTGAGGTGATGGGCTGTGAGGGTGCTGCTCAGAGTGCACAATAAAGCATGCACACTCTGCCCAGAAATGTCCAGGGGCCCATCAAGGATGGAGTCCTACTTCTGTGTCAAGACCTTCAGGCGCATTCTTTTATTGAAAATAATTGCACTTCAGATTGAGGGTTCCCTGAATCCTGTGAACTCTGCTGAGTTGTTGGGGGCAGCAGCCCCCAGTTCTGTGCTTTTATTGGGTCCCAGCAGCAGGGCCTCCCGAGGTGGGGGGCCTTGCGATGCAGGTACCACCCTGTCCAGGCACCACCTCTGCGTCATAGGTGGGTAGTGGTGGCTGACAGTGCACACACATTGCAGTGACAGGCTACAGAGGAGCAAAGCTTCCAGTAAACATTTCCAATATAGGGCACCCCTCAGGGCATTGATCTGACTGGCATCTGGGCAGAAGACTCAGACGAGCTGCTGGCCCAGAGCCCGGGAGACAGACTCACAAGCAGATCTGGGTGTTCAAGGACGTCAGTGCCATGTGACTCGGGGTAAACAAGGCCCCTTCTGACCCAAGGCCCCTACTCCGCCGACTGAGGGTGCACGTGCTGGGCCACTGGGAGGTCTGTAAAGGAGCAGCATACCACTGGGCCCCGGGTTAAGACCAGCTGATGACAAACTGCTCTCCCATGGTCAGCGAGACAGGGATGTCCAGAGTCTGGGGACAAGAAATAGGAAAACTGGGTCGGCAACTGAAGTGAGGCAGATGAGGGTGGGCGGTGGACATGGGGCCTGGCCCGGCCCTGGGAGTCTTGCTCTTCCCTCTCAGCACTCCTGGCAGTGGCCGCCTCAATCTGCTTTGGAAACGAGCTGCCGTTTAACCAGGGGCTGACAACGTGGACACGGGCAGAACAAAGATGTGAAGTGTAAGGGGCTACGCTCCCCACTCTTCCGAGAAGTTCTGCTCCCTCTCTACCCGTGTAACACTCAAGTGTCCTCTCCCTGCTGGACAGGGGTCCCATGAATGCCAGCTCAGCGGGCACCTCCCATCCCCTCACCCACCCTCAGAGACAGGCCCTCTGGCCCCAAGTGTGGGCTCTCTTGCCTCTGTGTCAGGGCTGAAGGTGAAGTTGGAGACAGGAACGCTGTTGCAGAGGACCTGATGGGGGGCTGTGGCCACCCCCAGGATAGTCACATTCCTCAGCTGCAGGCTGGCCCCCTCACTGCTCACGTGCACCAGCTTGTTCACAATGGTGTTCTGGCCGGAGCAGAGAGACAGGACCGGAGGTGTGAGCAGATGGTCTGGGGCAGCAAGCCCCACTCGGGCAGGGTCTCTGGGCAGCACACCCCCTGCAACCCCTGGGATGCTGGCACAGTGCAGGGAACTCTGGTCAAGGCACTTGGCCCACAGGCTCTTCTCCCCTTCGGTCTGGTTGACCTGGTGGCAGGTGGCCATCCCAGGAACCCAGGCCCAGCTACCCTCACCGAGTCAGGATAGTCACCCCAAGATGGCCCCCAGCCTGGGCGGATCCGACTCACGTTCTTGGCCAGAAAGATGAGCTGCGTGTAGTCCCCGCCATCCAGCACTCCCAGGCTCTCCCCGTCGTCCCAGAACAGCTCCCCTTGGGCCTCCCCACTGGTGGTCAGGGCCACAGCCAGGGCCATGGGCTGCTTGCGGGACTCTGTGGTCGTGAGGGCAGGGCCCTGGGAGGGGGTGGCCCACGTCACTGTCCCAAGCCTGGTGGAGGCCTCCAAACCCAGGTGTGAGGGATGCTAGGCTAGGACAGTGCCGTAGTGGAAGAAACCGAGATCCGCAGGACAGTCTACAGCCAAGTAGCCTGGAGGCCTGTGGAGACCACCCTGACCCAGGGGTCACCTCAGAGGACACAAGGCCCATGGAAGTTTGCAGACTGACTGTTTTCTGAGAAGGGCCAATGAAGCTCTAGAAGGCCTCCCCTCTGCCTGGCCTGGGAGCAAGTCAGTGCAGGGATGTGTCCTTCCCCAGCCCAGGTCATCCTCACCCCTCAGAAGCATCATCTCTCTCTGGGGGCGGACCTCCAGCTGGAAAGAGGCATGTGGGGGCCCAGCAGCCCCAGGGCTGGACAAATGGGCTCAGGGGCCCAATCCACGTACCTGCATAGGGATGATGTGCCCAGCCCGGAGGTGGACGTTGATGGTGTCCAGTGGGGCAGACAGCGTCACCCACTGCCCCTTGCTGTGGATGGTAGATATGAGGGGTGCAGGAGGTGGGAGGCTGCCAAAGGCCTCCATTGGTACCTGAAGGGGGATGTCATGTCACAGAGGGTCCTGGGCAGTGCCAAGACCCTGTGCTGTTGTGGGGAGGCAAGAGTGGAGACTGGGCCCCCCAGTGGGGACAGAGCATGAGAGGCTGGAGCCAGGGCTCGGGTGGGGCTGCTCAGAGGATGGGATAAGGGGCAGGAGTGTGGAAGCAGGAGAACTGGAGTCCTGGCTCAGTTTGGTGGCAAGTCACCAATCCAGACTCAGTTTCCCCATCTAGAAAATGGGTCCTGCAAGGATCTCACAAGATGATGCTAGTGGAGCAGCTCCAGGTGAGGGCCCTCATGTAGCCAGGACCCCTCCATACCAACAATGCCAGAGGGAGGACCTCTCCACCATCTCCCCCATCCTCCCACGCTTTAGGGCCCCAGGACTCACCTGGGTCTGCAGGTCGTACCATGTGCCCTGGGGGAAGTAACCAGTGACTTCAACCTTCTCAGCCTCGAGCACCGGGGTGATAAGCAGAGCCTCCCCCCACAGGAGCTGGCGGTCCACAGTCCAGGTGCTGGGGTCCTCAGGGAACCTTCAAACAGGAAAGACTGGCAGGGCGGTCTGGTAACCTCTGAGGTCAGCGGGCTCAGGGGGCCCATGGGGAGGTCTGGAAAGGAGCTGAAGGACCTGGGTTACATGCAGCAGGGCTGGTTCTAGCCAAATGAAGTCAAGGCAGGAGCCAAGAGTAACCTCTCCTTGCCTGATTGTCCGGGCATGACCTGTTCACATTTCCTACTTGCAAACTGTGCTCTTGCCCATGTGTTTTATTTGGTTCTTGATATTAGTCTTACACTTGGTCTGAGTTTCTGTACATTAGGGAGTCATTTTATTGACAAGTGAAAGTCACTCAGTCATGTCCGACTCTTTGTGACCCCATGGACTATACAGTGCATGGAATTCTCCAGTCCAGAATACTGGAGTGGGTAGCCTTTCCCTTCTCCAGGGGATCTTCCCAACCCAGGGATCGAACCCTGGTCTCCTGCATTGTAGGCAGATTCTTTATCAACTGAGCCACCAAGGTTTTCTGCTATTCATTTGCCTTGACAATCAGAGCAGTTTTCTGTTTATTTTTCTGTTTATGTTCAGAGAAATGTTATTTTTTTTCCTCTAAATTAAACCTCCTTCCTTTGCTTTTTGCTTTTGATGCTTAGAAAGCCCTTTCTTGCCAGAGCAGAGGGAAATATGGACTTCTGTTTTCCTGGGGCTTTTTCTACAGCTTAATTTTTGACATTTAATTCATCTGGAATTTAAGTTTGTATGAGATGAGAGGAAATAGATTTTTGCAGATAGCTTACTAATTACCACACTACTGAAAAATCCTTTAACCCTCTGATTCAAGGAGCCATTTTACAGGATGGTAACTCCTCAGGTATACTGAGTCCTATCTGGGGGATAGCTATTGAATTTCTTCGGTGGTCTTATTACCTTAAGCCCCGAACGGATTCCATCATGGTCGACTTACAGCTTGTTTTGCCATCTGGGAGGCCTGGTCTGTACTCAGTGTTCATGGGATTTTCTGTTATGGAGGGCTCCTAGCCCTGAACTGGAATCCAGTGGGTAGGAACTGGGGGTGCAGGGGTTACCTCAGTGGGGAGGGCCCAGATTTTGCTGCCACACCCCTGCTCTTGGTGCCTGGAATACCCAACGCAGGAGGGTGGCTGCCCTGGGGTCAGTGGGCCTGAGGCCATCGCTCCCAACCCAGGCACTCACTCCAGGAAGAGGGGCCGGGCCACCGTCTCGCCTCTGACGTGGGCCCCGTGGAACAGCGTGTAGAGATAGGGCAGCAGCACGTAGCGCAGGGTGAAGGCCTTCCTCATGGCTTGTTGCGCCGTCTCACTGAACCTGTACGGTTCCTGCGGCTGCGGTGGAGGCCGTGGCGGAAGCACCTGGGATCTGGGGTGGCAGTCACCCAGGCTCCCCCACCCCAGGAGATCCGGCACTCTGGGCCAGCCAAGGCTGGGATCCCTGGCACAGAAAGCGGTGTTCCCCAGGGCACAGCCTCCCCTGCCATCCCTGCCCTACCTGGCTGTTCAGGGCATTGTGGTTCCGCATGAAGGGGTAGAAGGCCCCTAGCTGGGTCCAGCGCACACACAGCTCCTCTGAGGTGTTGCCCAGGAAGCCACAGATGTCGGCCCCTACCAGGGGCACCCCCAGCAGATTGAAAAGCAGGATTTCTGGAGGGCAGAGTCAGACAGGTCTGCAGACGCCACAGCCGGGCCTGTCCAGGAGCCTGACAGACGTCTGTTGAACTGGCTAGGGAGAAGGATCCCTCCCAAAGACCCTCCCACTCAGCCCCCACCCGACGGCTGGGCGCATCCTGTACTCGTGGTTTCAGTAGAACAGCCTGCTGTATCCGCTCCCTAACACCTAGGGTGTGCAGGGCAAACTAGATCAGTCAGGGATGAATTGAATCCCCTCCCCACCCCACAAAGGTTAAGTTCTAGTCCTAACCCCCAGTTGCTGGGAATGTGACCACATTTGGAAATACGGTCATTGCAGACATGATCAGGTTGAGGACATCAGGGTGGGCACTGATCCACCATGACTTGTTTCCCTATCAGAAGAAGGCATCAGATACAGGAAACACAGAGGGTCCCAAACAAGATGAACTCAAACAGACCTACACCAAGACACAATTAAAATGGCAAAAGTTAAAGAGGATTCAGGCCTGACCCGCCACGCTGGCCCCAGGATGAAAATCAGAGCCAGTCAGCACCCATGGGCAGAGCCAGCAGCAGCTTTGTGAAGGAAGAATGGACTCAGCTCAGCAGGACATCACATACACAATGGCACATACGCATCACACGTGAAAGCGAGCCTGTGACTAGGAAAGCACTTCCAGGCTGGAGGGTTTGATGGAGGCTCTCTTCAGCTGTGACCTCAGGGGGTCACCTCTACCCTCTCCCCAGGGCTCCTGAGCCATCCCTGGGCCTAAGACGTCTGCAGCATCAGAGGTCTTGAAACAAAAGTCAAAATTCTCTTTGCAAGGTGGAGCCAGGCACTGAGACAACAGCGGTGGGGGCGCCCTTTGGACTGAGCTCAGATGCAGTTTTCATGCAACTCAGAATGTGGTCATCAGAAGGGATGTTCTAACAAAGCATGAATCCAAGATGGGATGCTGGGAAGAGGGGCACCACAGGTGAGCCCACTCGCACAGGTAGCTGACTTGCACAGGTGAGCCCACTCACAGGAGTTGGCGGCAGGCCCCACCCCATCCCAGTAGCATCTCTTTGAGGACCTGGCTCTGGACAAACTCCCCTGGAGAGGGGCCCATCCTCCACTCCTCGCCCCACCTCCTGACAGGTGTGCTCACCTGGTACAGAGTAGGAAAGCTGCTCCCAGTTGCTCCACACATCCCCTGTCCAGTGGCCGGAGTATCGGCCGTGGCCGGCAAAGGTTGAGCGAGAGATCACGAAGGGACGCGTCCCTCGAGCCTTCACCAGGGCCCTGGGTGGAAAGAGCTGTGCTGAACGGGGTCACCAGGAACCTCATCACTGCCAGCAAGAGCGCCTGGCAGTGCAGCAGGGAGGGCAGGCTGGGAACAAGGAGCCGGATAGCTGAGGGCTCTGCCTATGTCTGCCAGGCAGTCAGCCCTGCCACCCGACTTACCCTCAAAATGCACGTGTCCCAGGCTGGACAAACATCCCTTGAAGCTCAAGGAAGCCAGAGGTCCTGACCAGCCCTGGCCTCCCTGTCTCATCACTATGCCCTTCCTCTGAGGCACCAGGCATGGAGCCGGAGGGTAAGAGGGGTTAGAATGGGGGTGGCGGGGGCACTGGGGGGAACCTGGGCTTCCTTCTCTCCTTCCCCCACCCTGGCCCCTCACCTGTAGGAGGCTAAGGCTTCAGTCAGGCCATACAGGTTGTGCAGGTCATAGTGTGTGGACAGGAACTGGTGGCTGGAGGCGCAGATGGTGGCTGCCCGGAGGGTCCCGCCAACCACCCCTGGAGAAGAGGGGGCTGTTTCCTTGGAGCCTCCGCCCAGCAGGCTAGTGCCCCCTACATTCTGGAGCTCCTTGGGACCTGGGTACAGTCTCCACTTCTCCAAGGACAGGACGAGGTGGTGCCACAGCCTGGCCTCTGCAGACCCAGACTTCCCCTCTGCCTGCTCCTGAACCAGCTGCGCCTGGAGCACCCCCTCTGAAGGGTCTCGCCTCAGCAGCACATGCCCGGTCAGCATCACGTTGCTGGGGCCTCCCCACATGAACCTCACTCCTGAGGTTTCCCTCACATGCCCCGGGCTCCTGCTGTCCATCAGCTTCTCATAAACCAGGGCTTCAAGCCTCCCAAACCAGAGAAGGGAAATCCCTTGATTTGAGCTATTAAGTCCCCAGCTGACTAGTGCTGGGACAGGCGGGTGGAGGCAGGCAGGGACTGGGGACAGCTCACCTGGCGTGTAGGGTGGGTTCTCCAGGTTGTTGTCCGGGCAGCCATCCACCGAGCCCCTCACGAAATTGGATGGCTCATTCATATCCTGTGAGAAAGGACCGGGGGGTGGGCATCCTACCTGGTGCAGGGCATGGGGCCGGTCCCCAAGGCCACAGGACACCCAGGGGCAGGGCCACACTCACGATCCACATGCCATCGAAGGGCACTTGGGCGTGGAACTCAGTCACCATGTCCTGCCACCAGTCAAGAGCCTCGGGGTTGGTGAAGTCGGGGAAGGCGGTGAGTCCGGGCCACACCTGGACAAGAGGTCAGAGGGCAGACAGGGCCCCTGGAACCTGCACAGAGGTCCTGGGCAAACCAGCTGCGGGCAGGGCTGCAGCCTCACTCTCCCCTGGGGGTGGGTGGACTGCAAGGGGGAGGAGCATGGGGAAAGGCCCCAGCAGCCACACTCCTGGCAGCCTTCTTCCTGGTCCTTGGCTTGCCCTGGGGAAGAAGCAGGGACTCTTCTGGATGCACCCCTGCACCCCTCCCACCGCACCGCATGGAAGCCCCTGGGGACCCAGAGGATGTAGAGGACTCTGAGGTCTCCCTGAGGAGCTTTGGAGCTTGCGTCTGAACTGCCTGCAGACATGGGCCCCTGACACAAGGATTCTAGGTGGCCTGCCTTGTCAGAAGCCACTGTCACCCCTAGCTGTGAACCCGGCCTTCAGTACCACTGGCCAGAGACCCCTCTTTCTCCCCCTCGCCCCCCAGGCCCCACTGTACCTGCCCAATCAGTGGCTGCCCAGTCTCATTGGTGATGAAGACCCCTCGCCTCAGACCCTCGTCGTAGGGTCGGTAGGTCCCAGCAGGGCCTGAGCTGCTGATGGCAGGATCCTGGAGAGAGAAACCAGTCAGGATGAGAAGGAAACGCCTGAAACCTTGGCCCGATTGCTGAGAAAATGCTCTCCCTAAATGTTAGCAAGGCAGAAGTGTATGCAGCTTCATGTGAGCCAACACGCTGTGTGTGGAGGTGCACGCGACCTGCCCCTGGGTTGGCCAAATGGGGAGCACCTGGATGCAAGAGTTACTTTTGCTTGAAGGGCCCAGAATTTCACAAATGCTCTACAGTGACCATTTATTTCATTTAGAAATAAAAATAAGAAAAGGTCTGCACCTGCCCTCCTTACTCTGAGTGAGTGGCCCTGGACACCGCTCCCTTCAGAGGGGCCACGAGGATAGAAATGACCATCAGACCAATTCCAAATGGATTTCTTTTCCTGAGGGGCATCCATAGTGGCGACTACTTGGTTGTCTCAGCTCCCCCTCCCCACCTCCTCCTCCGGGCACCCCCCACAATCTATACCAGTCTGAACTGCATCCCTCTGGCTGCAGGGACTAGCCTAGGGAAGTGTGTCCTTGTGCTGAACCAGGGGAGCCTGCCCTGCTCCCCATAAGGCAGAGCTGACCACAGGGAGGAAAGGCAGGGGTCTCACGGAGCATTCCAGCTGCCCCGGCACACAGCTCCACCTGGCCTGCCCAGAGCTGAGTGGTGTCAGCTGAGTGATGCACTCACCACTTGCTTTTAGCACTTCAAGCAACTTACAGCTGCAAGGATCCTGAGCAAAGACACGTTTCCAGGGACATCACTGGACTGGACCACAAAGGCCAAGTCTATAAATCTGATAGTCCCTCAATACCAAAGACCCTCAGAAATGTCCTCCGTGCCCATGGCAGGTCAAGGACGATGCCACTGAGAGTTGGAGCCACCGGACGCTGGGACCCTTGGCTTCCAAAAGAGCCCACTCCACACGGCACAGGACCCAAGGGACACTCACCACGATCATGATGTACCGCCGACCGATCTGGTGGAGCTCCTGCACCATGGCCGGGAAGTCCCCGAAGTGGTCCTTGTTGAAGGTGAAGTCCCGTCTGGCATCCATGTAGTCGAGGTCATTCCACTGGACATCCTGCAGCCACAGCACAGGGCGGTCGGGGCCCAGGCTCGCCACCCCCACCCCTCAATGGGCCCCAGGCCCTTCCCCAGCACTCACCAGGGGGAAGTAGGCCCTGGTCATGTTCTCTACGACCTGGCGGGTGATGGCAGAGGTGGAGTAGCCCCAGCGGCACAGGTGGAAGCCCAGGCCCCAGTACGGCGGCATGAACGGGTAGCCTGGGGGCCAAGGTGACTGTGAGTGGGCAGGAGGGGCTGGGGAGGGAGCAGCTGGGGCCGGGGCGAGGCCTACCCACGACGTCCAGGTACTGCTGCACCACGCTCTTGGGCTCCGGGCCCAGGAAGATGTACACGTCCAGGATCCCACCTGTCGACCTCCAACTGAGGGCTGGGCTGGGCTGGAGGACCACATCTGGAGGAAGCAGCCTTGGGGCTCAGGGATAAATACTCACCCCCCTTCCCCAGGGCCTTCAGTGCTGCACCAATGGGCCAAACACCTGCTGGAAAGGTCCTCCTGCAGGGAGCCCGGGGGCCCAGGGCAGTCACTCTGAGCCCAGCTCACTGAGAGACTTGGAGCAGGACAGGAAGGTGCTGAGCAGCCTGAGGCCCCCCCTTTATGGCCTTAGTCCCCCTCCTCACATCAGAGGTCTCACCTTAGGGGCACCGAAGGATAGAGCTGGCAGAGGCCATGGCCCACTGCTCATTTCTCAGAGAATGTACAAGGCTCAATCCCCTGCCCCCTCCTCTGAGACCTGCAACCTGTCAGGCAGGTACAGAGAGTCCCAGCCCCCTCAAGGTAGGAGGGGGTGCAGCTGCATCAGGGAAACCCTGGCTGGGGGCTTAGAAGCAGAACTGGCCAGAGGATGCGGAAGGCCGTGCCCCGGTGCTTACCCATGGCGTTGCTATTCAGCAGGAAGACCCCGTGAGCCAACCCACCATCCTCCAGGACCAGGTAGAAAGGGTGAGATCCGTAGAGGTTCACGTTGGGCTGGGACATGGCAGACACCCCACTTTACGTCCTGGCCCATGAGGCCCCTCTGATCCCAGACCCCCTTCCGCCACCCCTTTACCTCAGGGGCGATGTCCCGGTTCCAGAGGGTGATCTTGGTCCAGTTGGTGCTGAGCATCAGGGACCCAAGATGTTCGGCAAGGCCTGTGATGTGCTGGGATGGCAGGGAGGTGGACAGCTGCAGAAACTGGTCCGCAAAGAACAGGGGGGCCACCGTGGTGTTCAGCCTGCCAGAAGAGACCAGGTGGCCTCGCATGAGAAGCTGACAGCCCCTTGAGCCCTGACCACAAGCGGCTGCTGCCCAAAACCTTCCAGTCCTGGGAGTTGTGGCCCGGAGTACCACCTCCCAGGAGGGCCAAACTGCTCCCAGGCTTCATGGAGCTGCCCAGCCAGAGGCAGTTAGGGCACTCCGAGGTTCCATAGGGTCAAGAGAAAGGATGAGACAAGTTAATAACTGCAGTGTCTGATAAATTGACATGTGCTGTGTGCTGTGCTTAGTCGCTCTGTTGTGTCCGACTCTGTGACCCCATGGACTATAGCCCGCCAGGCTCCTCTGTCCATGGGGATTTTCCAGGCAAGAATACTGGAGTGGGTTACCATGCCCTCCTCCAGAGGATCTTCCCGATCCAGGGATCAAACCCAGGTCTCCCGCATTGCAGGCAGATTCTCTACTGGCTGAGCTACTTGGGAAACCCATATTGATGTGTACTGTGTGATAAAGAAATAAATCATAAAGCAGAGTACGGGGTGTTGCCTGGAGTGACGCAGCTCCTTTAGACTGGACAGGGTTTCTCAGCCGAGGCACTGCTGATGTTTGGGCCGATCCCTCTGTGTTCTGGGCCGTCCTGTATGCCGTGGGGAGCTGAATGGAATCCCTGCATCCCCGCCTTAGTGGTGACAATGTCTCCAGCTGTTGCCAAGTGTCCCCTGGGGAAAATCACTCCCCATGGGCCTCCCTGGGGTGGACAGTGTGGGTGGGGGGCCTTTGAGAAGGGGCCTTTGAAGGCTCGGGTGCAGGGAACAGCGAGCACCAGGGCCCCCGGGGGCCATGAACAGCAAAGAGGCCAGAGCAGGAGGGTGGACCACAACAGGGTCAGAGACAATGCCCTCCAGTTCCCTGGCCCTCCCACCCAGATTGGGGGCGGGGGGCACAGAGACTAGGCACTCACAGCACCCGTCCGTCCAGCTTCCGCCGCACGACCACCCCAAAGGGCTCCTCCGAGAACTCCACGCTGTACAGTGTGAATGGCGCCTGGCTGCTGACATGCGGGGTCTCCAAGGGCACCTCATAGCGCCTGTTGGCAGGATCTTTGATCTAGAGGAAGAAAATCGTGTCATGAGGCCCTTGGTGGCTGGCCGCCCCTAACACCTGTCCACTCCATCCTTCACCCTCCAGAGGAGGGAGGAGTCAGTTCAAGTCCCCAGGGCGGCTGCACAGAGCATGGAGGTGTGGACAGACTAGTCCACACCCCTGAGCCTCAGTTTCCTATAGAGCCAGGAGAGCACCTCCTGTGGGCTGCCAGGTAAAATATACAACACCAGGAAATCTGGGTTTCAGATACACAATTGTTTTTAGTATTAATATGTCCCAGATATTCTATGGGACATACTTATGCTAAAAAAAAAAAAAAAGACTAATTCCTCAGTTATCTGAAATTCAAAACTGTATTTTTATTTCCTGAATCTGGCAACACTTTTCTGCCTGGCATTCCTAGTCATATGGTGAATGCGAAAACATAATTAGATCACCCAACCATTGTCTGGGTACACAGTCATCACTCAGTAATTCATGGCTGTTGTTAATTACTTTGTTAAAATAACTGGGTATTACTGAACTGTGTGCTGCAGGCTCTCTCACCTTTGTGTCTGGACATTCATTCAGTGGACAAATTTTTACCGAGCACCTGCTATGTGCCAGACATTGTCCCAGTGGCTGGGAATAAATCAGACAAGAGGCCCTGCCCTCAGTGGCTGGGATCCCACTACCCACTGCCTGGAATGTCCCCCTTCTTGCCTCCTACTTTAGGTCCCAGCTGGGATGTCACTTCCTGGGGGGGAACCTAACCTTCCACCACCTCACTTTAAGCCCTGCCCTCTAGAACACGCCTAGAAACTCCCAGTCACTGTCTTAGTGACCCACTACCCCCTGAATGTAGATGCCATGTCTGCTCACACCCAGGCTCTAGGTGAGGGTACAATACACATCTGTGCATTAATAAACACCCCCCCCAAAAAAAAACACCCCCCAGAGTCCGTCTTCAGGCTTCCCTGGGGGCTCAGATGCTAAAGAATCCGCCTGCCATGCAGGAGACCTGGGTTCAGTCCCTGGGTTGCAAGATCCCCTGGAGGAGGGCATGGCAACCCACTCCAGTATTCTTGCCTGGAGAATCCCCATGGACAGAGGAGCCTGGCAGGCTACAGTCCTTGGGGTTCTCAACGAGTCGGACACGACTGAGCGACTCAGCACAGCAGAATCCGTCTTCATCCACTGTCCACACACCCGCTCTGCCCCTGCCCAGCCCCTGGCCCCCATCCTGCCCACCGTGAAGTGGAGTCGGCTCTCGGTCTCCATCAACACATCCAGCCTCAAGGTCATGATGTCCTTGGGGAAGAAGGTCGGGACGGCACGGGTCAGGGTGGCCGTGTACCCTGTCTCAGTGGTGGTCAGGTTCTCCAGTCTGTAACTGGGGTAGCTGGGAGGGAAGAAGCACCAGGGCTGCCCCATCTGGGCATCCGGAGGCCACTCTGCAGGCACGTAGCAGCAGCCGCGGGCCTCACATTGTTGCTGGGTGATGCCCTTGTCTGGGGCGCAGTCGAAGCGGCTGTTGGGGGGCAGGTCGCACTGTGTGGGCGCTGCCCTGGGGCTGCCACGGCATTCTGGGCTGCTGGCTCCTGGCTGGCAAGCTTGGTGAATCTCGTCTTGGGAGAAGCCTTGTAGTTCTCGGGGGACCACCTCCAAGTCATGAAGCAGGATGTTCCCCAGGAGGGCCAAGGAGAGGAGGGTGCAGACCCCCAGCAGGGAGCGGGAGCAGGGTGGCCACCTCATCATGGGTGGGCAGTGGATCTAGGAAGCGGGCAGACAGAAGAACCAGGCTCAGTGGGACAGTAGGAGGGAATGCCCAGGACCTCAGGAGACTCTCATAGCAGCTTCCAGACTTGAACTTGGGGCTGGCCCATCAGCGCCCAGGGCGGAAGTGAATGAGGGCAGACCTGGGGCAGGGAGGAAAATGGGAAAGGAGAGAAAAGTCCCAAACAGGGAGCTGCAGAATTCTGTGCATTGTGAACTCTTCTAATGTGTCACAAATTAACGCATCTAGGATGTCTGTCAAAGTGACTTCATGACTCAACAAAGACAAAATGACTCAACAAAATGACAAAATGACTCAACAAAGACCCACATGACAGATCAAGCGGAACAAGTTCCCACAGCAGATGGAGTAAGTCCCGCTCTTGTATGAGGATTGTGGCTGAGGTGATTAAGTCTTGGCCAGTGGGGCAGAAGCTCGCCCTCTCTCTGTCCCTCTCTGCTGACCTGGATGTGGATACAGCCTCTGAGGGGTCTTGGGCACCACAACCCAGGGCAACACTCAAGGATGGCCGAGCAAAGGAGAGAGGCCAGGCCCCCAGGACTTGGCAGGTGTAGCCCCTCCCGGCCCCTGCCCACATGGGGTCTGGCTGTGGGTCTCTGCCACAGCCACTGCACTGGAGCCTCATTCTGGTAACTCTGGTGCTAAGACTGTTATTACGCGCATCTTGCTTATCTTTATGTAAGGAACATTGTCCAGCTCCTCTGAGGAGCAGCAGCCATGGATACGGGACTAAACATGCCAGGATTTTACTCGGGGAATCCTTTTTATCTGCTTGAGAGAAAATGCGGAGGTTGGCAGAGAGGCTGAGACCACCCACACATACCCACCCTCTTGATCCCACAGGAGGCTGGTGGGTCCCAGACTGTCATGCAAGTTAAGGAAGGTTGGTGAAGGCCATGGCACTGGGAGTCCTCAAGCCAAAGCTGGTCCTTAGAGGGGTCCAGGTCTCCCAGAAGAAGCCTGCCCTAGTGTTAAGGGCCAGGAGGTGGCCCCTTGCAGGAGATGGCAGTGATGCTGTCAGGGCACAGAAGCAGAACCTCTGTCAGCAAAGCTCCTTGTGGCAAGATGTCTGTGAGCTGCATTCTCACGGCCTCTGGAAACATGCAGATACTGGGGTGGGGGGGGGGGAGTCACCCACCGCAGAAGTGCACCCATGTCACTGAGAGTCTGAGCCTGCCCCAAACAGACCAGTCAGTCACCTGGAACATTCTGGCCACCATACTTCACCGGTATGTTAAGTGTTATAAGAGCAAACTGTTTTCATTCACAACACTTCTGACACCAAAAGCATGGGGCTTTTTCACACTCAATTCAATTCAATTCTGACAAGAACTCCTGGATTAGCAAAGACCCTACAGGTTGAGGGCTCAGTCCCATGAACTTCCCCCATCTCAGACACTAACTATGAGTTCCAGATCGTCACTTCCACTTCTGACCATGTGGCTATAAATTCCAGGGTTCACACAACACCCCTCACCTCAGGTTCAATAACAGCCTAGAACAACTCACAGAACTCAGGAAAGCACTTTACTTGTTTATTATAAAAGATACAACCTAGGAATACCCAGAGGGCAAGGTATGGACAAGGGGTGCTCAGCTTCTATGCCTTCTGTGGGCTGGCCACCCTCTGAGCAACAAAATGTGTTCACTGGCTTGGAAGCTCTCTAAACCCCAACTAAATGTAGGCACGAAATGATGAGATCACTGACCACTGGTAGTTAAATTAATCATCAGCCTTGCTCCTGGGAGTGAGGCCAGGTGAAAGTTCCCACCCTGGAATCCTGCCTTGGTTCTTCTGGGGACTAGCCCCCTTTCTGAAGCTGTTCACAAGCCCCCAGTCATCTCATTAACGTGAAACAGAAATTCTTATCACCACCAAGATTCTATGGTCTTTAGGAGTTGTGTGTCAGGAACTGGGGGTAAGTATCTATTTTTTATACCACACAGTGTCCCAGCTCCACTTGATTCTGTTAGACACATCTGTGATTGTGATGATTCAGAAACTTGGGGAACTCAGAGTGGAAGGTCTTGGCCCTACCCACCCAGACTTCAGAAGCTGAAGAGGTTCCCCATCCCTTCCCTGTTTCGATTTTACAGACAGAGAAGACAGCCTAGAAGGGGGAAGAGATCCTACAGTGGGGAAGGGGCACACTCACAGCGATCGACAATTTAGAGAGAAAAATGGGGAAGGACGGACGGTCAGCAGGTCAAGTGGCGCCCCGGAGGGCCAGTCGCCCCATTTTCTGGGCTGTGACTTTGAACCACTGCTCCCCAGCCCACGGTGGTGGTACGGACAAGCTTGATTCAGAGCCCAGCTCCACCACCTGCAGAGGCAGCTAAAGGTTTTTTAAACCTCCCGTGCCTCAGCTTCCTCCCTATGAACGTGGGCAAGCACAGCCTTCCTCGCCCAGCTCGGGGGCAATGAATGGGTACCGTGGAGCTTCCGGGGTCCTGAGGTGTTACTGAGGTCACTGTCGTCACTGCTGACCTCTGGCGCGCGGCCCTGGCACGATGCCCTCAATTCCTCCAAAAGGAGAGCACTACCGATCAACACTTCTATGGATCGACCCCTCCTTTCTCGGGCTTGACGACTGCCTGGACCCGCCAAGCCTCCAGGCTGTGGGGTTGCCGCGGACCGCCCCGGCCCCGCCACTCGCTGGGACCACCCGCAGCCCCAATCCAGCTGTCACGCCGGCTCACCTCCGCGCACGCGCGCCGGCCGCAGCAGCCACCTCCGGATCCAGCGCCCGCGGCGCAGTGGCGGCGAGTCACGTGACAGTCCCCCGCGCAGGCGCCCTTGGTGAGTGCTTGTCTCCGGGCGTGCGCCCTCTGGTGGTGGGGCGCGCAGGGGCATCCTCGCCCTCTTGGCCTCGGCGTCCCTGGAAAGTGGGAGGGGCCCAGGGGCCATGCGCACTGCAGGAGAGGGGGCTCTGGGGAGAGGCCTGGCTTCGCTTTTTGCAATCCGGGGACGGTGCGACGCCCCCGAGTGAGCAGCTCTCCGCATTCTAGAGCCCACCAGGCCACTCCAGAGGCCTGACTGCGAGTTTAGCACCCAGAGGCCGAAAATTTGGAAGCAACTTAAACTTCTTCTGAAAGGAAAATGTTGTCATAAGCCATAAAACCGTCATGAAAACTGTCATGAAAACATTCAATGACAAGGCACTTTTCATACATTGAGAAAAGGCTCATGTTAAGAGGAGCAAGCTTATACTGCAAGAAACCAACACAACATTGTAAAGCAACTATGAGCTAAGTTACTTCAGTCGTGTCTGACTCTTTGCGACCCCATGGACTGTAGACCACTGGGCTCCTCTGTCCTTGGGAATCTCCAGGCAAGAATACTGGAGTGGGTTTCCATGCCCTGCTCCAGGGGATCTTCCTGACCCAGAGATTGAACCTGGGTCTCTTCCATCTCCTGCATTGGCAGGCAGGTTCTTTACCACTAGTGCCACCTGAAGTGAAAGTGAAGTGAAAGTGAAAGTCACTCAGTTGTGTCCCACTCTTTGCGACCCCATGGACTATACAGTTCATGGAATTCTCCAGGCCAGAATACTGGAGTGGGTAGCCTTTCCCTTCTCCAGGGGATCTTCCCAACCGAGGGATCGAACCCAGTTCTCCCACATTGCAGGTGGATTCTTTATCAGCTGAGCCACAGGGGAAGCCAAAAAATACTGGAGTGGGGAGCCTACCCCTTCTCCAGGGGATCTTCCTGACCCAGGAATCCAATCCAATGCAGGTCTCCTATATTGCAGGCAGATTCTTTACCAACTGAGCTATCAGGGAAACCGGCACCACCTGGGAAGCCCAAAGCAACTATACTCCAATAAAAATTTAATAATAATAATAATAAAAGAGGAGCAAGATTTTCAAGTGAAAAGTTGGATCCTGTGACCCTGTCAGGTGGAACCAGGCACAGAAAGCCCCACACAGTAGTGTCAAGAGTGGGATTGAGGGCTTCCCTGCTTCTTTGTGGGGTTTGTGTTTCTGAAATATTTTAGAATAAATACACTTTTTTCTCACACATTCAGAAAAAATTTTTATTTTCCTGCTGAAACATTTAAAATTATCTTGTAGAACATTTTCCCTTTAAACTGCAGGGAAGGCATAGGTAGCAGGTGCTTGGGAATCACAGTGTTGGGGGAGATGCCCTGGGTGGACGAGGGCTGTGGACAAGTGGGCAGACAAAGGGAGGTCTGTGTTCACACACCCGTGTGATCTCACCTCAGGCTTTAGGCCTCCAGACACAGCCAGGGATTCACATCCCCCTGGACTTGCTCCCATAAGTTGGGAATCTGGATTTAACCCATGCTGAAGGTGGGGGCAGGAGCAGAGGCCTGTATTTCCAGTTTTACTAGAAGTTAGCCCAACGTGGGAATGCAGGTTTGTGTTCACTGACACTGCGTTTGCAAGTGGAAGACTCACCAAAACGGAACCGCAAGCGCAGGGATTTCCTACAAAAAAATTCCTACAATGCCCTGTCTCTCTTTAGTGGTGTCATTCTCTGAGGATAGGAAGATTCCAGTTCTGATGACACTCAAGACTGGACTCCTCCTTGTGGGGGGGTTGGGGATTGGGGCTCTCTAGGACCCGGATGACCCCAGCCTTTTGGCGATGGGCTGGCTGACCTTGAGCAGGGCCTCTTGGAACTGGGGGTACTGTTCCTTCACGTGGTGGAGGATGCTGCCAATGCTGACCAGCCTGTCGTGCAGACGCTTGAGCTCCATCATCAATGACTGTTTATTGCGGAGCGTGAAGACGTACCGCCCGTCCTTCACGGCCTGCAGGTACTTGAGGCGCGTCTGCAGGGCCACGAGCTCAGAAAGATTCTTGGGAGGGACAAGTGACCCCATATCAGGCTATGCGTGTTCAAAAGAGGACACCCACTGGCCTGGCACGAACTCCGACTTGAGGATGCGCCAGTGGAGAGCTTGGCAGATCCAGGGGAAGGGGCCGATGG